GACAAGTGAGCAGTTAATATAACTACAGGGAATTAAAAGGGTTTTTTTTTTCCCTTTTAGTGTAAAAAGTAGTGAAGAGAACACATATAACTGGATTTCCTTCAGTATGGAACAAAATTTATCAGCTCACAGAAATGGCGAGAAACTGATGCAGTGCTAACAAAATTAAAATTAGCAAAATATTAAAATTTCACAATGCCACCAGCTGCAAGGTACTGTGGGAGACTCCCCTCCCAATAATGCAGGGAACAATACTGTTTTCATCTACATGCCAAGACACAGACCACTGTAATTTTAGCAATTTCAGCAATGGTAAACATAATCTAACAGCATTTCCTTGAACCAGATCCCAGAATTTTAAGTCAACTTCTACATCTCTTAATAATACATCACAAAAAACTATATATATACACACACATACATATATACATATACATATATATATATATATATTAACTCTACTGGGTACTTAGCATGAAGGAATGCTCCTCCTGTAGCCACTTAGTGTGGGTTAATGAGTGTACTAAGACAAACTTTATAAACATAATTAAAATACTTTTGCATGAGTAGATTTCACTATAAGCAGGAAGTTTAGTACAATTTAAGTCCTACTTGCTTAACTCCTCAAATATGAAGATTGAAAGGCTATATAAAATCTGTGCACACTCAAAATACTGGTAAATACATACTTGAGAGTACAGAACCATGAACTGCACAGGAGGTTCTCAGCAAAATGATATAGGATAACCCTAAAACTGGTTACTTGAGGAAAAAAAAAATCTTTTACTTTTCTATGTCTTGCAAATTGAAAAGAAATAATACATTCAGAAAAACAAACTGTAACCTGGAAACTATAATAAAATTGAAGCTCAAACTGAACTTCTTCTATTAACTGATTTCTATCCTATTAGACTCATCTTCATTTTTTTATACATCAGGTCAATGAGATCCACTTAAAATTCAGATGTAGCATTGTTGATTTACAAACTAAATTAAAATTGCCGATTCCTTGAAGGGCCATGAAACCAAGAAGGAATCATACAAAATGTTCTGCAGATTATTCCAGTTCATATGGAAAAGCTTAATGATTCGTAATGATAATGAGATTGGTATCTGAAACCACTTGAGTGTTTACACAGACTGACTGAACCAGTCAGATAAACTTCATACCTCATGTCTGTAAAAGGGGTAGCACAGACTACACAAATGAAAAAGATGTGAATTCTCCTGGGCAGTAACAATGTATCTGTAATAAATTTAAATAAAACAGCCTCACCAAGCCTGCAGTGTTTTTGTAGAACATTTTGCTTAGCAAAATCAAACGTTTCTCAAAAGACAAAACACAGAAGCAATAGCAAACAAGCAGGAAAGCCCAACACAGTATGCTATCACAGCTCAGCCTCAAATGTTCCCACAACACAAGAGAATTCATAAGGACTTGAAACAAAGTGCTGCTTTTAGGGAAAAAAATTCTAGTAAGACTTTCCAAGAGAATTGGAAATGCTAATGACACTTTTCTCCTTGTACTGTCACACAGGAAATTTCTGAAACAATATATATAGACTTCCAATGCATCCTTCCTTCCTAATTTATTCCCATGCAATGGCAAGAAACCAACATGAATCCTCCAAAACAAGATACCAAACTTTTCATGTTGCATTGTTTTGTTAGGCAAGTTCTAGTATAGTATCTCTGACATGTTTCCAGCTAAATTGCTACTAAACAAGTAGACAAAATCACCTAGGTTGGAATCATAAAGTCTAACTGTTAGCATAGGTGAGACAGACTTGCTTCACCCTAAATTATAAAGACAACACCCAAAAAATACCACAGGAGACAGAAGCAGCACAAGAAAACTGTTTTCCTCGAGGGAATCACAATCCTTTCAAAAAGTCATCCACATACAGAATAAAACGCAAAAATAGAATTAAGTTCTGCATGGCCAATATCAAAAACAAAAATACAATTAATATCTGTCTTTAAGAGTGAAATTTTATGCAGTCAGATATATAGGGGGATACTTTATATATATAACAGAAGTTGGACCAAAGGAAGAATAATGATGCAGTAGTGAGAATGTCAGCAATGAAGTTGCAGCCACGGTAAAATGGCTTAACACTTAAAGATGTTTCCATCTTTCTTATAAAATTATTTGAGTAATAGTTTGTAGTGGCTAAAAGTATCTTTTTGTGCTATCTCTCCTGTCATAGCACTGATGAAAGGGGTATGAAGACATGTAGGGTATGTAGGGTATTTTCTGACAGTTTTAGAAACATATAAAGCTTTAAGGAAAGCCCATTTTTTGTGATGAAGTATGGTGCAGAATCCAAAGTTTGTACCAGAAATAGAATCAGTACAGAAATATTTTATAGCAACACAAAGGTACTTAATTGGCTCTGCTAAGATACAGGACTAACCAGCATGGAAGATGTTGAAGCTGCACCATCTTCTGAGCTCAGATCTTTCCAAAGAGCATTGCACTGGAGGTGCCATTTCATCTGGTACTACTCTGGCAGAGTGTCTGTCAGAGTGATGAACTGGGAAACATAAAAATGCTCTTCGTTTACCCTCCTCTCACAGCTGTGACAGCCTTCATACTTCAATTCAGCCTTCATACTACAATTAATCATGACACATGCTTGCTTGAAAACCTCTATGGCCTTTTCACTCTTCCCTTCAGAATCTAATGAAACAGTGCTGTTTTTCCCATGTTTCTTGATGCCCCTTTGGTGTGCAGTCATCAGGACCCATATGGACATACCATCATTGTATCTATAAATCTATAGGCAGATTAGGGGTCTTGGGTGAATAGATCACTGCCAAGATCTATTAGACAGCTGCTCACACTAGCACTCTTCAGCTTTGGATTGAGACACAATTTTTCTAACTCTCCATGTAAGAGGCAGTAAGAGGTGAGATTCCATGGCCCAGGCAGAACACAGCAGCCCTGGAATGCATTAAGGGAAAGCACACCCCGGTGGGAGCACCAGAGCCTATTGGTCCCACTGATCCTGGACAAGCTGTAGTCTCTGTTGTTCCAGCTGCTTTGTTGAGGATACCACAAGCATTCCTCTCACCCTACCTTCATGATTTCCTGTTTCACCAAATTCTCAAAGGAATGACTTTTTCCAAGCATGCACTTGCAGATAAGCATTTACAAAAAAAACAAAAACAAATTAAAAAAAACCCACACAGAAAAGACCAAGATATGTATGTTGAACTAAAGGAGGGTAAGAGGAGAGAAAGGAGGAGAAACTAAAGAAAAAGTGTGCAAGTACAGTATGCTAACTTCAGGTTCCTGAATTTAAACTGCAGCACGAATTAAACACTGACTGAAAACCAAAAGAAATGCACAGTTAAAACACTTGTTGATCAAGCAGTCAATAAGCTGGTATTAGTACATGGCTTGGGTGGCCCAGGTGGCCCAAAGAAAGCTTAAGTGTCCCAGAGACTCTCCCATGTTGTCAGCTTTGCTCTCCTTGAGGAAAACAGTCAAAGACTCGAAAATTCAGCACCTAAAATTCATCATATATTCCATTAGTTTCACAAAAACCGATTACCCTGACACATAGCTGTAGTTGACCTGAAATTGAAATGTAAGTGAAAATAGGTTTTAATCTATTCCACACTTTTGACCTGGAAATATCAGGTATCCTGAAGCTTTGCCACTTGGCTTTAAAAAGTTTTACAAAGGTCTTCAGAAAGGGACCATTTTATGTACTTCAGTGGTGACATATTACAGAAAAATTGCTATAATTACCAGAAACACTCATTGCAATGTTATGAAGGAAAAGCAATTGTCCTCACTTCAAGGGAGCTTAAGACAGAACTTGATTTTTCCCACCACTTGGCTCCTCCCCACTAAGAAAACCTCTGCTTTAGTTATTGCATTATACTTGACACATCTACAGCTTCAAACTCGCACAATACAGAGCTGGCATGCACGTATCCAAGAATGTCTTTTGCTGGAGCCACCACCTTCCTAAATATCATGATGTACAGATGTCAACAGTGGAATGTCTGATTTTCTGAGTCACAGTATGACTGTTTTAGAACATTACTATTACCACTACAGACAGTAGGCAGGCTCACATGGACTGACTCTGGTGTACAATCTTAACAGTTGCAGTAATGGAAAGCCTTAAACTAGCTCAGAGAAAAAACAGTAAGCATGTCATCATAGAACTTTAAATTGCTATTGCTTCTTCAGAATATCACTCTACCAAAAGAACTCTATTCAAAGAAGAATATTTTTTTTTAAGTCCCTTTTTATTCATTTATTCAGATTTAGGCTACCAGTCTGCCTGTTACAACACTGACAGTGCCCAGCTCAATGTGAACACAAGGGTGGAGTATCAGAATATGGTCTGAGTTCTCTCGTTTGTATCAAACCACCACACGGCCTGATGAAACTTTCTACTGCCTGGGCAAAACCACAACACTGTATGATGACATCAGAGTAAACCTAAACAACACTGAGATGCTTTGGAGCCTATTAGTAGTTCACCTTATCTTGGTAGAAACCAATCACGCTCACAAGCTGGAGATAGAGAGATGCCAGATACAATGCTTGTACTGTCTAATTCATGCAGAGGTTTTCAGAAGTGTTCTTGTCAGTCTCCCCAAACACTTTTTTCCTCCTCCAAACTGCAATTTTCTGACAAATGTTTTTAGCCTGTATTTCTTATCCTAGTCTTGATTTTGAAAGATTCTACAGATGCATAATGAATATAAAAACTGTAATTTTGCAACAGTATGTATAATCTCAATACACAAAAGTAGTTTTCCTCTCCATTCTACAGATCCAATGTGACTGTGTTCAATTTAGTTTATTTTTTTTTCCCATTCTTGAGTTATTTTTTAGAACCTTTGCTATTATAAAGTTCTTTGCACTCAGGCGATGAGACCAAGCACTGATTTGAAGTAGATGAATGGAGAAATTCAAAGATGTATAATTGCTGCAGGAAAGGAAAGAAAGGAAAATGTACTCAAATACTCACTTTGATGAATCTATGAAGTATATTACAAGAGCACCAATACTAAGAGCGAAGACTAAGACAACCTACAAAAGAAAAGAAAAGAGTAATTATTTAACAACATTAACCAATTATTCTTTTACACACAAAGACAACAAAAATAAATCATAAGCTAGTTTAATTTCAGCTCCGATTTTCTTTAGAAAATTGGTCCTACTTGAGCTTCAAACATTATATATTATCATAGAATGCTTTCTTGCATTAAAAAGAGACAAAAAAAATCTATCTTTACCAGACCTATCCTTCAGGATCGCTCATTGGTCATAAACCAAGAGCGACCAAACTTCCATTTATATGAGTGGCTGTGAAACCCACAGGAAAACTGTAAGAATGCACTCCTGTCCATAGAGACTATAGAGAACTTTCAAACAGTTTAAAGCAATACTTGATGCAGCACATCATGACAGTTATGACTTTTGTTGGCAGTCTTAACATTTAAAGCTGCAGATGAGTACTGTGATAAAAATATCTTGATTCAATACAGGCTTCAGACTTCTTTCTGAAGCTGCTGTATTATGAACAAGCCTGACTGAGGATCACAGTGCAAGGAGGGGACACACAAGGTTTTCATTCATTTCTGAAACAATGTAGACATTCCTCTGCTCCCAGCTATCACTCAATGCTGTAAAGGCAGCATCTGAAGCGACATATAATAATTATTACATAACCAAACTCTGAAGTTCTGCATGCCCAATATCAAACATGTACATACCTTTCAATAAAATAGTCATTAATGTATGAATATTACATAATTACTACTAATTATTAACATAACTATTTAACTGAAAGCTTAAATTATTTTTCCTTACTTTTATATCCTGCTGACCATAATATTTTTTTACTTAGTGAATGTCTGAAAAAGGGTATTTTCCCTGAGTGCAAGTATCTGTTGTCTTGTCTGATGCATAATCTCCTGAAGCAGTGAGATCTGTCCATCAAATTCGAGAATCGAAACATGAAATTGATTGAAATAACATTTTTTCTATCTAAGTCCAACATATTGTTAACATCTAGAGTTTGAATCTTCTTTCATTGTGTACAGGTGTTGCAAGGTGAAATAAGCTATTAAATTCACACCAGCTGGTAGGAATCTCACCATCACAAGAAATTATAGTGGTGGATAGAACTTGTGGATTGTTATCTGACAATATACCCCAAATTAAGATTAGCAGTGATCCCAAGGCCCATTTTTCTCTGAATTAAGATAGCGGGAATCAAATTATTATGCACATTCTGCCCTACCTGTTGGAATATTCCAAGCTACATACAATCACGGTTTCAATCTGAATCAAATCTGCTCCATCATTTATTATCAATCCATTTCAAGGAAAGTCTTCATTTTGTAAAAAAAACCCAAAATTTCAAAGACTTCTGAGTGTTCTGAGAACACAGAGCTGACAATTCTGGCAAAAAATTTTGCTTTTTCCCAAACCAGTTTTAAACACAGCTATTCACTTTCAAATAATTTAAAGTCAAGTATTAGTGGTAATGTTTTACCCTGAATTCTGCGGAATCATTTCCATATTAACAACATCCTCAAAGCCACTATTAAATATAGGTATCTGTTAAAAAAAAAAAAAAAAAAAAAAAAAGAAACAAAGAAAACAGCATTTAAATTCAATAAAAAACAAACAATCTATAAATAACAGAAGAAAGAAAAGAAGAAAAATGCAACCCCAAAAAAGCCACAGGACTAAAGAGATTTACCCTATGGCAGGAGTTTTGGGTTGCAGAATGCTGAGATGGCCACTTAATGCTGGAAATGAAATTTTTTAAACTAAACTTGTAATCCATTTGGGACTCTATGAACACTCTTCTCATTCCTTCAAGTTTCACAAAGCACACAAGGACTCGGTAAAACTTAAAGGACTTCAATTTTCCTTTTCACATAGCAAGTCTTGAGTTACAACTTTCAGTCATTGCCTCCTACCCAAAGGAGTCCTGTAGAGTAAACCCAGCAAAACACTGTATCAGCCTTGCATTTCAGGTATAGCCAATCCTTTGTTAACCATCACTGTGCTGCCTAAATGTTACAGACGTTCTGGGTGAGACCTTCCAAAACACTTAAGGCTTTTAAGTGTTCTGTGACAGTTCATGTAACTGCCCCTAAAATGCAAATATCTGTATTTTGCAAGCAGCTCCAGATTCCCATGCTATGCCAAACAGTGAGATACATATGTATGCAAGACTACAACATTACCCTTCTGTTATATATATATAAACACCTGATTTTAAATCAAGGCTTATTTTCTCTTCTATTGCCTTGAAACACATACCTAACATGATACATCATGTCTCAAAGAATCACAGAAAGAGTATCAGAAGAGAATGGAACACTGAAGTCCATTTCTTTTTCCTGCTAGCAGAGAAACACATTTTTCCTTTGCTAAGTGGCTGAGGAGTTGAGCTGAAATTGAAACCATCAAGTGTGTGGGAAAAGCAGACCCTGAACCAATCAGGTTGAAGTTATACTAAAATAAAAAAAAAACCAAAAAAAAAACAAAAACCAAAAAAAAAAACCAAAAAAAAAAAACACCAAAAAAAACCCCAAAGAAACAGAATTTAACAAACCCCAAACTCTTGTATGCTATATGATAATATCTCAGATGCAAGATTTTTGCTGTATTCCCATCTAAAGAATGTGGAGTGTAACCTGGTTATTCAGATTCTGGATGACAATTACTGAGTTTGCTCTGGTGTTCCCTAGATTGCCAGGGGAGGTAATGTCTGTTTTAGAGACCTTACTAGGCTAGAGGGGTGTCACAAACATAGACCCATACCCCAAATTCACAGCAACAAAAATCAGAAGGAGGGAAAAGCACATAAGTATGTGAATTACCGCCTTTCTTGTTAACTAGGCCATGGCAAGAAGTTTTCTTCCTTTGTTTATTATTTGAATGTATTTGCCAAAACATTGCAATTGCTACACATCAATTATAACCCTTCTGTACAGAAGGAAAGAATAATTTAATTTATAATGGCTTGCTGTTTGTAGAAGATTGAGAAATGCGAACTGATATGCTAACAGCTATACTGACTAAACACTTACTAACAAATTAAAAATAAACACCAATCTGATTAAAAGAAAGAGAGGGAAATACATGGAATAGTTGCTGCATATCCCTAAATCTTTCATAAAAAAAGGAACAGAGAAAATCCAGCCACAGATTTAAACAGAAGAGTGGAATCCCTTTTTAAGGCAAGAGTCAGGGAAATTGTAGATAAAATCCATCTAAGGAAAACTAAAAATCAGTTTTGACTGATTCCAAGATACTCTAGAAGAGCTTTGACTGCCCTTCTAGAAACTCAGGCATCCATAATAAATACAAAAAGAAAAAAGAGAATGAAAAAAAGGAGAGTTTTGATAAGGGCGTAACAGCATAATAATACTGCAGGCAAGCACCAACGCTGAGAAACACTGTCCCAAATAAGCTCACCTTCCAGGCCCCAGCCTATGTAACAAAGGATAATCCAAGGGGTGGCACTGTTCCCCCTACAACTCCAAAACTGCATTATTGAAGAAAAAAGGGAAAACAAAAAGGCTGGTCCATGAGACAGGAGGGCTACAGTTAATAATGAAGGGACTCTAGAGCAGGAACTTCAGTCTCATATCCTGTAACACTTGAACATTCTGTGAAAGATGAAACAGGACTCTTTGAAGTTTCAAAGGCAAATTCTTGCTTATACAAGATTAAATTATCCAAACATAATTAATACAAAATAGCATAGAACTCAAGAGGCAAAGCAGAAAATCAAAAAGGAATAATAATCCCTTTTTCTTTTCCTCCAAAATTAAGTATTAAAATAGAAAGTATACAGTAAAAAAAAACCTTTCAGAAATCTGCAACCCCTAACACCTCAGGGCATCAGAGAGTTCTTATTTTTTCTGACAACAATCTGTTCTGTTCTTCAAAAATGTTTCTTTCAAACTCATATTCTAGGGTTAATTATTCAACCTATAGGCTACTGTAATCGTTAGAATATACTAGGTTTTTAGTTACTAATATTTCTTGAAATTCACTTAGTTCTCATTTCTACATTCACACAGTGGATTCTGTTCATAAGATATTGAGTTTTATCAACTATGATTTTAAAATAAAATTCCATTAGTTTTTATATTTATAATTAGATACGGAGAACACTAATTATTTCCTATATATATAAAGCTAAAACCTCAATGCTCCATTAAACTTTTGTCACAAAAACGTTTGCACAACTAAGATGTGAACAGCCTGATGTTTTGATTTAACTTGGATGAAAATTCGCATACCTTAAATATAAACCCCAAATGTCCTTTAACCATCAAATAAGAAATCAATTGTAGTTACTTTATAGACAGACAGAACTTGCTTGTCCAGATTTGTTAGGAATGAAAACCGTAAAAAATCTAAGGACACACCTGCTTCAAGTTACATTTCAGAAGTTGGCAATTACTTCTAGCTTGGCAATGCCAGCATTAGTTTGTAGACTCTAGGAGATGTACCCACATCTCTGCAATTATTGCAATTCAACAAAAGTAAGACCTTCTTGACCATAGAAGATCCAGAATATCTTAACTAAAATTGCCCACTCTTAGTTAGTGAACTTAATTGCTAACTTAGTTACTCAATTGCTAACTCTTAGTTTTGAGCTTGAAGCTATTAAAACACTAAATCCAAACTTTGCAATTTTTATAGCCACATTAAAAATTTTTCAGAAAACCAGACCTGAAAATCTTTTACAAGATTTTATATGCAAGTAATTTCCATTCAGTTACATTTTATGATTTTGTTTTTTGTTTACTGCTATTACACAAAAAGGAGTTAACTAAAAAGTTAATCAGCTATTAAATTTTACGGTAACTAATTTAGTCATCAGCACACAGTAAAAACAGTACTGTAAATTTTGGCAGATTTACATGATTTTTTGCTATATAAATTTTCCCCTTCAGCAAAGCTCATATAAACTTACATTTTTCAAGACAAGTCTGAGTTTATCCAAAAAAGGAGGTGAAGGGAGTGAGAAATGACTACCTGATAGATCAGTG